TCAGCAGACCCATTGGTCAAACATGCAGTCTTACAGGTCAACTGTTATGATCAAGCAGGCTTGTGCTATATTGCCATCTAGTGGATTCTGTGTTGTTTCACAGAGAAACATTAAAAAAATGGTTTAAATTTAGTTTTAAAAAAATCACAATTTAAAAATACATTATTTAACACTCTTTGCAGTTTTCCTGTCTCCAGCCAAACCAGTTATTTCTCACATACCAGTCATGTTTATACAGTAGGGAGGTGCCCGCTGACTTGCCTGACACAACTCAGTGCAACGACCAGAGCCTAACCTGGATAGCGTTTGTAGTTCTCGTAGTCTTCAGAGCACCGGACAGTGTAGACTCTGGGGTGAGGAGAAACCAGCTCACCCTGGTGGACCAGTGTTTCTGTGATGTCACTGTCCAGAGGGTTTATGTACAGCCACATAGCCACCCCACACAAACACAGAGCAACCAGCAGCCAGGGCACAAGTCCTCGGTACCCCCTCCAAGCTGATCCCTGCCGCAGAGCATTACCCCTGGCAAAACAGAAAAAGGGCCAAGATGATCAAATGAACAGCATGTTTCCACACTCTTGACTAAAATGAAAAATAGTGCCAAAAGTACCAGTGTTACCACTCTTAGTTCAATAGTCTAAATATGTGATTCCCAACCACGGGTACTAGGTACTATGTATGTAGAAAGAGAATGAAGCTCAATTAATTTGAAAATTAAAATACATTTTTGATTTGAATGAATAAATACACTCACCAGGCACTTTAACAGTCACACCTGTACAATTGTATGCAAATCAGTGCAACATTTCCTCCTTAACATCTGTGTTTATGAAGCTCAAAATGTTTCAGTTTTTGGTGAAACTGTCATAAATATATAAATTCAATTACATGTTTATTACTGAGGTCATAGTTAAAAGTGGTGTTGTTTTGGACTACATTATATTCAGAGGTGTCTATATTTTTGTCCTTTCCACCTACATAGATGAGAGGTCAAAATACCTCTAAATAAATAAATACATACATTCATATATAAATTCCATACAACAGACATTGCTTTTCTTTTTGTAACGAAGTCCTTTTTGGCATGTGGCATGTTTCTAATTCATTTTCAGGTTGTGGTCAGTGAAGAGTGGGGGTGGTGGAGCTTTGGTTGTTTGATCAAGAATGACTGCAATTGGTGGTTTGCGAAGTCTGCATGTACTACCAACAACTACCAGCACTACCAACAAACTCAGTGTATCCAATAACCTGTAAAGCAGAGTAAATAAGTCTGTTATATCAAACTTATTGTAGTTAGTTAGTGTAGTTTACCTCCTGTATCAAGCAGCAAAAAAATTGTAGCATGATGTGTTTGAGTTAATTTGCCTTACATTGCACATGCTGTGATGTGACTATTGTGCATGGCACATCGCAGTCGGCAGTAACGACGCTGAAACAATATATCATGCAGCCCTAGTATATAGCAGCTTTCTAGATCAATAGTCACAAAGTGTCTCACACAAACGTTAAATAAAAAGGAAATAATAATAACAGAGGAAAATGTGTTAAAAGTGATTAAATATAAAATTGTGATTATTGAATGCATGGACCACCTGCAATGTGCTTCATGGACCACCAGTGGGCTGAAGGCCACTGGTCGACAACACCTAGCTAAGCCCTACCAGCCCTACCAGACAGCTAAGTCCTACCAACAGTGTCCACTTCATTCTGCATGTTGACAGTAGCTGAAGGCTGAAGGGTACAAAAAACAGCAGCTAATCAGGAAACCCTTACATGTCACGTTTAGTAAGCACTACATTACTTGTCTTCATTCTGCCAAAAAGAATATCCTGCTGTCTGGTATAATACTAAAATGTCACGTATTCTGTAACCTGAAAATAGAAAGGAGGTCATTAACTACCACAAACCTGTGATGTGAGAACCTCACTACAGATATGGAGCTATTATACTGTTATTTTGATTTCTGGTGCATCCGTTTATCCAAATAAGCAATAGAGTGAAGTTAGTAACATGGAACTTATTAACATATATACACAAATACATGTGTTAACATATCTGTAAATTCATAATTAAATAAAAAGCTTAAATACAAAAAGATATTTATTAAATAGATATTTATTTCAGTGTTTATAAATGTATTGTTTTTATTAATGGCCTTATTGTTTATTTGTTTATTTCTGTGACTGGCTGTGTGGAAATACAAACAGTAAATAAAAGTTGAGTAAACTAACATCAATAAACAGAATGTGGATAGCAAACATAAATTAAAAACTACCTTGTGTGTATTTCCTTCTCCTCGAAGACTAAGTTACAGCTATTATTACAGTATCAGTCTGACTGCAACTTACTATTTTAATTTTAGCTAAGTCCTACCAACAGTGTCCACTTCATTCTGCATGTTGACAGTAGCTACCTGACGGGGACACACTCCCCCGTCAATATGTTCAGCTATCTACAGCCCGGACAATAGCAGCAATTTTCCCACCTACCTTTTAATTTTCTTTTCTATCTCAGTGGCATTCGAACCCTTCGTGTTTCTCATTCGCATCTGTGCCATTTCAACCTAGTGGTATCCGTCATAAACAACTACCGTTGCTTTCACAAACCATACCGTACACCACGCCAACAGCTGCTACCGCCACCACCTGAATCCCTCCACTTCCTGATGGACGCGATTCGACCACCCCATTGGCTCTCAGATTAAGAAAGCAACGTTTTCATTGGACCATGCGCAGATCCAATTGAGTTCCATTTCCATGCACAGCTTCACAAACATGATCTAACGTAGAACAAGGTGCGACTATGTCCGGGACATTTATTTTCGGAATTTAACCACGAAACCGCAGCTCTGACATCTCGCAATTTTTCATCCATTGCTCTGTTCGCTCAGACTAAACGAATCGATTGCCTACTCTGCGTTTTGCTTTGAAACGACTACAAACAATAGATAGAGGTTGTTCTTGTATAGAAGTAGTGATCCAACAATAATATCCTTCTTGCAGTGTCAGTCCTCTCTGGTAGCCTATCCTCTCTCTGGGTCCGGCTTGGTATATACTGTGCTGGTGAGTCAAACTAATGATGTTGCATGGCGATATGTACATACACATTGAGAGCCGATGTACCAGAGTCAAATATCTTGTGTGTCCGACACACCTGGCCAATAAAGCAGATTCTGATTCTAATGTTCTTTTACAAACCTAAACACACATCTGTAACTACTGAACTACTAGTGAATCTCCATTCGTGCCTACAGGTAGGATGAAGTGTGCACCGTGGCCTGAAGGAAAGAAATTGGTTCACCTGGATTTGAAAGGTGCCCCCCCAACAGTGGAATACCTTCACAAGGTGAGAGAACAAATCTTGTCTGTGATCTACTGCAGTATACATTTACAATAGGCCTCTATCAGTGTTTAAACTGATATTAGTGGACATTGCTGGGCACTAATGTGTTTTATCTCCTCAGCTGATCGAGCTGTTCTCTCAGCTGGGAGTCAATGGCCTCCTGGTGGAGTATGAGGACATGTTTCCTTATGAAGGGGAGCTGAAGCTGCTGCAGGCCACAACCCAGCCTGCTTACAGGTGCAGTTTTGTGTCTTTGTTTCATTCCTGACTCTCTTTACTGTTTGTATGTACTAGTGTGTATTTTTTTAATCAACCTTACCATGTTGTGAGATGCTGTAAAAGAATTCTAATCCTACTGTATCTGTGCCATCAAATGCTTCAGTTGAGTAAGTTTAATAAGTTACATCTGTTTACTCTGTTTTCAGCCCAGAGGAAGTATTATCTATGCAGGAATTTGCTAAATCTAAAGGCATGGAAGTCATCCCACTGGTGCAGACATTTGGTCACATGGAGGTGAGGCAGACATCCTCCTGTCCTCCTGTTTGTAACATGGTTATGATTGCTCAGTTTTTCAGTATCAGTTTTTGTCCCCATTTTTGCTGCCTATATGACCTGCTGCTGTCCCTTCTCCTTTATAGTTTTTGTTGAAGCATCAACCTTTATGGAGCCTCAGAGAAGTGCCACACTGTGTGGGCACCCTGAATCCACACAAAGAGGAGGGAGTGAGGCTGGTGATGGAGATGCTGAGGCAGGTGGTGGCGCTCCATCCCGGCCTAAACACAATACACATTGGAGCAGATGAAGTAAGAGCTAGTTTCTTGTTAACTAGTTGTATTTTCATTTCTTAATAATCATCAATTCTCTCATGTGCTTGTCTCCAACTGCTCAAGGTATACATGCTCGGTGAGGGAGAAGAGTCTAAATTATGGTTGGCTTCACCTGGACACACAGTGGAGCAACTTTTCCTGAGTCATGTGACCAAGGTTGCCAAGGCCATCAAGGAGGTGTGGCCTTACATGACCATAATAATGTGGGATGATATGATGAGAGGCATGAGCCAGGACTCACTGAAAGGTGAGGACAGCGACAAAATACTTGGTGTGCCAGCTGACTGACCAGGTGCATCAGTTAGGCTGATGTTATTTAAGGTTCATTCCAGGACTTCTAACTTTCATGGAGCATTGTACCATATAGTATTGCTACTTGTAAATGGGAAGATAATAAGGTCATAGAAGCTATACTAATAACAGTCATACACTCCAGTATTGAATTAATTTGTACAGATGTAAATAATATCAAAGCTGAACCTTTCCTTAGTTTGGGATCCTAGTTTTACAAGCACTGCTGTGGTTAATATCAGTCCACTCAACTGTCTCTTGATTTCACCTTTGTCATTTAGTCTCTTCTTTTGTTATCCATGACAGCTAGTGGTCTAGCAGGACTTGTCCAGCCCATGTTGTGGGACTATACCCCTAATCTGGATGTGGACAAAACTGGTAAGAACTGTATACTATGAAGTTGGCATTCACACTGAGCTCTTATACGTTATCAGAGAGCCTGCAAAATGCACAGAGCTGATGTATATCCTGTAACTGTCATCCAGTGTCTCTGCTGGAGAAGTACTGGAATGCTGGTATATCAGATCTGTGGGCGGCCAGCTCTTTTAAAGGCTCCACTACTGTTCATACCTGTGTGCCCAGTACACAGAGACATGTGCAGAACCACTTGCAGTGGCTAAAGGTGGCTGCTTCTTTATCTGCTGGCATAAACCTGAAGGGCATCGCCATCACAGGCTGGCAAAGGTAACAATTAGAAGTATTTATCCAGATTTCATCCTGTCAGCAATGAGATGTTGTGCAGCTTGGTACCCTTTTTACCACAATATTGATTTTTCTACTTTACTGGTGCGAGTATGGATGAGGTGGAAGCCTAGGGGGTAGAGAACGAGGCTTATGACTGGATGATTCCTAGTTTGAATCCAGGACTGTGTGTGGTTTTTAGAAATAAATGTGTAATGCTTTCTCTGAAGCATTAACAATGAATATCACAACACATACTAGTATTTAAGTATAACAGAACTGCCCTTTGGTGACTCAAGATACTTGCTAGGGTCTGAAGGACATTATTAGCCAGATATCATATCATATCATACTCCATCAGAGACCTCAGAGCTGTCTAACATTATGGCCTGTATTTACCTGTATGTGATGCATTCTTTTCCCCCTGTCAGGTATGATCACCTGTCAGTGCTGTGTGAGCTGATGCCTGTGGCTCTGCCCTCACTGGCAGCATGTCTCCAGACACTTTTCCATGGTGAGTTCAGTGCTGAGGCTCAAAGCAAAGTAACTGAGAGGCTGGGCATCTCCTCAGTTGAGATGGAGGCCATTGAAAGGTGAGGTATTCTTTGATGAACCCCACAGTCACAGTGTAGTGTATGAGTAGTACATCCTATTTAACAGGACCTTGTTCTGTGTTGTCTTTAGGTCACCTGCAGTTGACTCATTGTTCCCAGGAAGGAGGCTGGCTGAGTTAATTGTGGAGCTCGACTCACTGGTGAAATCAGAGGACATACGATTTTTTGAAAACAACATGTGAGTTACATGCAGTGATCACAAGATTCTATTTCCAGTGTCCCATCTACCTTAAAGCAATAGTTTGACATTTTGGGAACTACACATGTTCATATTTGCTTTAATGACTAGCGCTAGTAGCCGGTTAACTTAGCATAAAGATTGGGGACAGCGTCATAGCTATTCTGGCTCTGTGCAAACATCACAATACCTGTGTACCAACTCGTGAGTGTAGCTTCATATTTACAGTACATTCCTGAGTGTAGCATTAATCTTCTCATCTGACTCTTGACAAGAAATAATCATATTTCCAAATAAGTCAAACATTTCCTTCCACCTTTACAGAACTAGACAAAACTGTTTAAGTAGTAGAGCTATATTACAGTGACATCTGAATAGCTTTGAATGTATGTATATTCGGTAGGTTTGTGAGAGGATGGTTCAGCCCCTACCAGCGACAGAGGAAGATGGCAACTCCACTCATCACCATGCAAATTCACAACCAAGCATCAAAGTGAGCACACATTTCTTAGCATGCCATTTAGCCCAAAACAGTCCTGTGCATTAGTGCAGCCTCTTAGCAACCATCATAGCTCTAGATTGATGTCTTTTTTAACCTTACAATGGCTTAACCACTTTGTTTAATATTCTGTTTGGCTTTAACTGAAACCCTCTCTGGTCTTGTCTTATCAGCTACTTGGCTATGTTACAGCAGAAGGTGGAGGCAGTAAGAGAAGAGATGGTGCATCTCTATCCAGATTCAACTGCCCACGAGTGGATAGAGGAGCATGTTAGCCCTTTAATGGCTCCTCTGCAGAGGATTACGGAGGACATTGAAGCCTGTATGAAGGAAATGGTGCCATAGAATATTTTTCCAGCTGAGTAACATATCAAACATCTTTTTTGATTAATTTAGACGCTGGTCTCAATGTTTTGCAACAAACATAGACATTAAGAGGAGTGAATTTATGCTTAACCAGGAGCAAACTGGTGATTGTAACCTGCAAAGAAACAAGAGAATTTCATAATCACACTTGGACTTTACATGAAAAAGAGGTTTATATAATTCTTGCAAAAGTAAACAAAGACAATAAAATCAACCAAAAATCAGTGCTGATTCAGTACTCTAAATAAAAAGTCATCTCACTAAAGCACTTAAGTGTTTGCCTGAGTGTTTTCTTTGGTTCACAAAAACTAAACACATGAAAAAACTGTTGATCAAGTCATGGAAAATCCTTAATTACAGTTTCTACATGCATTCAACTAGATGATGAACTGTGTATGGCCTAAACATGCAAAAGGGTGATTATCAACTGGGTGGTCCAGAAAGGTTTGGGAAAAGCTATTTCCATAGACTTACACACAAACACTTATTAGAGTTCACTAAGAAGGTAGGTATGTCTGTAAGCTGGAGTGTGTTCTCAAATAGTAATCACATCACACAGTACAATAAAAGAAAAAGTCTTCCTGGAGTTTTTTGGAAAACTTCTATTTAAAAATGAAACTATCCGCATTTCCATGAAAATTAGGTCAAAAACAATCAATGGATTCTCAGAACCTTAGATAACAAAAATAATTCTGTCTGTCTGTAAGGAAACACACAGAGAGGCTATGTCCTTGGTGTTATATGCACATGCTTGCAGTACATAGCATGCAGTAAAGTCCTCACTGAAACCACACCCTGTGTAATACCACAGTGCTCCTAACACAGTCCACCCAAAGTTACAGTAAGGTTGCTAGTCACAGAGAGATCAGAGTGTGTGTGCTTCATCATCTGACTGACTGCTGTTGTCCAGAGAATCTCCCTCATCCTCTCCATACTCTGCCTCTTCGTCTTGGTGCCTGCGTTGCTCCAGCTCCTCCAGCTCCAGGAAGCGCTTCAGCAGTGCAGCCAGTGCCTCCACATCACTGCCAGGTAACAGACAGAACAAAAGGATAAAAGAGATGTGTGTTGGTTCTACCACATATATTTGGGGTTGTTTTTCCAATTACTGTAAAATCGATAAGAGGATTGATGCCTCCAGGTTACTAGGCTACACTCCATGATGCAATGGCCCACAGTAGTAGACAACATTCAACTGGATTATTTGGAAAAAATCTAAATTTTAAAAGTGAGAGCACACTGTAATGAAGCTAATATATGGAAAGACAAACCTTTATTTTAGGACAGTTAATCTAAATACAGTGATGTGTTTATAATAACCAATGGATTGTGTGCACTGTCAGAATGTATGCAGCAGTAAAATATATATGTGTGTGTGTGTGTGTGTGTGTGAGAGAGAGTGTATGTGCAGGTATAATGTGTACAGTATGCATGTGTCCAGGATAGTTTCTCATCTTTCTCATCACATTTTTATTGTGATGTTACTATGACTAACCCTGATTAAAATAAACAAAAGATGAATCCAGGTTTAAACATCTAAGAGTGATAACATCTGTGGGCAAAACCTGTACATACATACCGTACATGCATGAATATTCATAATACACTCTAGTGCTAGTTATTTTTTCTGTGGGCTTAGAGAGAATAGTTGTGCTGTTACAGCTTATACTGATCCCTATAAATCCCCATTAGCAACACCTGAAAGGGTGACCTGATTAAAAAACATTACAAAGAGTGCAGTCACAAAACAACATCAGCATTCATTTTCACTGGTGTTGCTGGTCACCTGTTGAAATGTAAGCCCAGTGTCAAATCTCTTTTTGTTGTTTTTTTTTTTGGTCTCCACCAACATCTCTGAAAAATAATGAATCTTTAGCTGCTAAGTGCTCCACTATATTTACCAGCTAGCTGCTAACGTTGTGGCAGGTAGTATACGATGGCTTTATAAGAGCTTAGCCTGAAAATCACCTGCTGGCTGATGAGAGTAGTGAGAATGAACAGTAAAGTGAGCAGCAAACCCAAAACTGATCTCAATAATCCTGAAATGCCCAATAGAGCTGAGGGATACTGCAGAATTAGGTGATAATTATCTGTGGGTTTGTTACTACAGTAGAAACTTTCCACATTACAAATCATCACTTGACCCATTGTTAATAATAAAACTGACTGTAGCAGCTTTAGATTTCAGTCCTGGTTAATTTAGTCAGACTTGTGATTATTGGTAGCACAAGCCAAGTGTGTTTTAACACAGGTCCCACACATTGACATCAGTAAAGTAACATCATTTATCATCATAATATTAAGCATATGATTGATTGAATGAATGATGATGATGATTGAATGGTGTAATTGGACCCTTACAGTAGCAATGAATACTTCTACTTAGAGAAGCAATTTCAAAATGCAAATATGTTTAACAGCTATTGCTGAAAAAAGACAGGCCTGAAACAGTATCAAAAAGGATCTGATTTAACTTGAATGTGTGGGAACTGTCAGCAGCTGGTACCTACCTGCGTCCCCCAAGTGTGGCACTCTGGGTTAGGGGGTAGGAGAAGCCTGCAGCCAGCCGCAGCATCAGCAGGTAACCCTTCCCCAAATAACGTACCTTCTCCTCCTGGACGCAGATATCACACAGCTGTGTCAGATCCAACACAACTGAATGGCAGAAAGAAAGAAAACACTTAAAATCTAATACTCCTCACTCTCAAGACAACTGAAATTATCTGTTCTGTGGTGTTAATGACCTTTCTCTTGCCCCTTTCTCCAAAATGTCAGGACTACATTGTACAAGCTAAAGGTCTTCAGTTCAATCAGGTTCTTTGTTTTGTCAAACACGGCCTCCTCCCATTCCTCCATGTTCTGCATGGCCACAAACAGAGAGCCAGTCACGTAGAAAAGCTTCCACAGGATGCTGTCTATGTGATTTGCACGACACATACAACAAAAAAACAAGGCATGATAATGAAGTGTAAATGTGGAAAGTTATGCTGGCAGAAAGATGGTTGTCAGATTATGCAAATTCAATTTGTGCACCTGAGCTGTAGTATGCTGCTGCCAAGCCAACAGATGCTATACCTGAAATTGAGATGAAAGGCTTATTTTAGAGGCAATACAGGAAAAGAGCAGAGAACAGGTGCAGTACATACAGGATAGTGGATGGCCTAGCTGGAGGTACTTTCAGGTTTATATCAGAGTGCACAGATAATATAAACAACATTTGCTCAAAACCCCACGCTTACCAACAAGAAGAGACCAGGAACGAATGCCCGGGGATCTCTTCAGGTGGAGCAGGGTGGAGTTGTGCTCCTCTACTCTCATGTATCCCATCTGAACAAAAGCAAGAATATGAAGTGCTTCATAGTATATCCTAAAAGACACTTTTACTTGAGCATATTGCCCCTACTCTAAACAGCCAGTTCACCAAAATCACAACAATATGCTACCAGTCCAAAGTTTGGACACACTTTCCCATTCAATTGAAAACTCTTTTCTACTTGAAGAAAATCTATGGCACGAACGTTACAGAGGAATCAGGATTACAGACAATAGATTGGTACTGGAAAGATCCTTTGTGAAGCACGAATGAAAATCCGTGCATTGCCATTGTATAAGAGTTGGGGTTGAAGTCTCATAGTTAGATATATCAATACATCATCATATGTTGATGATGCTGTTTATCAGCATAGCTTCATATCATAGAGGTAGGGAAAATACTTTCTATATATATATATAAGCCGTACAAGAGAAGAAAGATGCTGCTAATGATGAGGGGTGAGGGGATCTGATGGATGAGGTCTATCTATACACCGTCTGACCACAACTATATAAAGACACCAGCTATGAGCTGGTGAGTATCACTTACCTTAAACTCTTAGGTTTTAGTGTAGATTTTCGTCCTAGAAAGTTCGGCAAAAGAGCATTTGTACGAAAAAGCACATGCACCGAAAAATAAGGAACCTCTATTCATATTATTGCAACAACTGACCTGAATGGGTGACACTTCCTTCCTGGATCCGTCAGCTCTGATTGGACGGGCTCATTTTTACAACGCCTTCAAAATAAAACGTTAAATGCGTCAATTTTAGAGGAAATGTATATGTAACAATGTAATAACCTCCGATTTTCTAAAAAAAATAATTATTTTCGTTCTGTACCGAATTAGGTTTAATTTTTCAATGGTTTTGACGATAGCCACATTTTTCGTCATGTCTTGATACATATTTTGAAAGGTCAAAACAAGGCTTTCCGGGTGTGGTATAAGAGACCCACTTGGACTTTTTAACCTCGGCAATATCGTGTTTAGTTAATTTTCTGTCCCAGTAAAATCAAGTCGACTTATTTTTAATAACGATCATTTATAACCCCGCCAGGCTGTTTGAGAAAAACTCAAGCCAAAGTGGAGTTGCAGTCAACTACTCCGTTTACGCAAGCGTCCTCGAATGACCGGGGGTACACAATGGAGTCGGACGTTCATAGACCAGCGGTTGGAATGCTGGCAACCCCGACGTCCTTGAAAGCATTAGTTGGTACATTATGAAATAACGCAGACCTGCAGGCGAACGGTAGCGGTGACAGACAACTTGACTTGCGAGTGAAGGGTCCGAGTAACTGCTCTATCAGTGCTGCTTTCTCTTAGCTGTGGCTGCTCTGCTGACTGTCCTCTGGATCCATGTCTTTGTTCAGAGCATGTGACATAGAAACAGCCCGGTGAGTTACCTTCAAATTCGACCTTGTAATGTTGACACTGGGAATGGCATACAGCTCCAACACTGGTTGTACATAGGCAGCGGTCAATGGGTTCAGCCAATACACAGTTGAACATTTAAAGCAAACACAGTGGCCTATAATGCATTAGCATATTTTAAATCGCATAGTTAGCGCTGGCTTAAAAACTAATGTGGTGATAGCTAGGCTAACTAACCTTACGTTATTGATGTTTTAGGTAGGAGGTAATTCCTTAGATGTAACGGAAATGATCTCGACCTAAAATAAAATATTCACCGCAGCTTTCGTCTTTTACGTCATGGCACACCTTTCCAGCCTATACTTGTGCTGTTCCCCCTCCTCATGCGAACATAATGCGATGTTGTGTGGCTTTGTAGCTGCTTTGTGGTGCATATAATTAACTTGAGCCATTTAATTTTTAATGACAGGATCGTAATTTGTGTTCATTGCTGGTTTCCCACCATTATAAAGCTGTTGTGTTTATGATAAGCGGGCTGGTTGTGATAGGACGGTGGGGGGTGAGAAGAGGGTGGAGCAGGCACAGGCACAGGCGGCGGAAGGCCCAGGCCCCAGGGCCCAAGCCACAGCCTCAGAGGGGAATCTGCTCTCAGAGGGGAATGTGCTGTGAGAGAAGGATGAACACTGGGAAGCTAATACTGCTGTTATCTCAATCCACAGATAACTGTCAAGGAAGATGTCAGAGGTCAACATAGCAAAGCGCAAGGAGAAGTGTGAAAACTGCACCAAACAGGTGAATTTCTTGATCTGCATCACAGTGCTGTCTTAAGAATAAGTCATTTCTCTTACCAATGCTGGATTTCAAAAGCTGACTTGGTAACCTTTAATCTAATTGTCAATCTGCTGAAAGTGCAACAAGAGACTGAGTGATGAAGGTGTCAGCTCACATCAGGAGAGTGATGAAGTCAATGGGCAGGTAATGTCGGCTTACTGAGCTGTTTCATTCCTTGTCAGCTGATTTGACTAAATCAGTTCTTGTCAGGTTGTTTATTAAAGAGGAACTCCACCGATTTTACACATCTGCTGTATAATGTCTTCTGTGGATCTGAGGAAGCCTCCCAAAGTTGAAAAAGAAACCTTCTTCATTGTTCTCAGGTGAATGAAGGATCTCAGTTGCTGCTGAGTGCCTGTCTGTCCTGTGATGGCTGTCTGTCAGAGGGGGAGAGCCTGAAGATCTCCCAGCAGAGTCTGGAGGCAGTGGAGCAGGTCCTGGCACTCAACAAGGTACAGTGAGCAACCATTTGGCATCTGAAGCCTGAGAAAGTCAGTACATTGGCTTGTTGCACTTTGAGCCATGCAGTCCTTTACATTGTATTATCCCCACTGTTTCTCTGTCCTTGTCAGAAGTGTGACGTGTCAAAACATAAGGTGCTGGTCGTGTCGGTGTGTCCACAGTCCCTGCCTTTCTTTGCTGTCAAGTTTGGTCTGGACATTAGTGAGGCTGCACACAAACTCTGTGGCTTCCTCAAGAGCCTGGGTGAGCTGGTTTCGATTCACTTATGTGTTCATATCTGTAAAAAGGAATAAACAGGCATTGCATGTAGTTATCAAAGGTATTTTCCATTGTTTAGTGATGGATTCTTTTCTTTTGTTGTAAAAGCTACCCAGGCCAGAGCGTTGCTAGTGAAATGCTCCCCAACACAGTAATCAGTATCCTACTGTCGCTTTTAAATGTGTCACAAATCCAGCTTTGCTATTACAGGAACCCTTTAGGGACATGCAATATGTAACGCTTGTGACCTTCTTATTGGTATCTATCATTGATGTGTGACATGCTCTCCCTGTTTCACTGTGTCTGCTCTCTGCTGTCTCTGGGTGCTCCACACAGGTGTGCAGTATGTGTTCGACACCACTCTGGCAGCAGGTTTCAGCATCTTAGAGAGTCAAAAGGAGTTCATTCAAAGGTATCGCAGGAGACACCATGACTCCCACGCCTTGCCCATGTTCACTTCCTCCTGCCCAGGTAAGCTGTCTTAGTCCTCTCCTCTTTTCCTCCACCTAATTCTTCTGTCTCTCCTCACTTTTTTTATCCCTCATCTATCAGACTGTGTTTTTAGCCAACTGAACCGCCCTCTCACTCAACCTAAAATGTACCTGAATTTTCCTCCTTTTTGCTTCTCTGTAATGCTTCTGACTGTACAGGGACTTAATGCCATGTGTTGAATAAGGGAAGTCAGAGCTTTCTTTAGAAGTAGAGATAGCAGTGGAGAGCTGGTGGGGAAAGATAGAAGACTCTCCTTTCACCACTCCCTTCATCAGCGATAGGACCTGAAAACTTTCTTAGCCTTCTATTCTTGTATGCACAGGACTGTCAGGCTACGACTTGTCATGGCAGCATGACATTACACAGCTCCAGGCACAGGAAGTTAGCGAATTTAGGAAAAATGGTTGGAAAGTGTGGAATTCCCTGGAAATTTCATTTGTGTTATTACAGGATGTGCCAAAATGTTGTTTCATATGTATTTCATTTCATGGTGATTTTCTGTTTACCGTCAAAACAGAATTAAATATGTATGTCAGAGGCAGAATGGTATGAGCTGTATTTACAGCAATATTTAATGGAAATTCTGAACTAAGAAAAGAAATGTATGGGACAGTCATCACCTATGTACAGTATGTGAGTGATTTTTCTGTGGAAGTGTAATCTTATTTTACTACTTGTTTAGTTAGTTTGTCTCAAAAAATTGAAACTGAGACTGTACTGCAGCGGTACAATGGTTACTTTAATAAAGTGCGTGTGTGTGTGTGTGTGTAGGGTGGATCCGCTATTCAGAGCGTGTCCTGGGCAGTTTGGTCACCCCTCATATCTGCACAGCCAAGTCTCCTCAGCAAATCATGGGCGGTCTGGTCAAAGACTACTTCTCAAAACAGCAGGTGAGCAGTGATCCCTGACAGTAAAGTTCTTTAGTCTGCCAGTGGTAGCTTTAATCATTACTGTTAAACTGTTACTATTATGTGTGTCAGTAAAGGTTTCCAGTAACGTGGGATGAATAAAAAAAAAATAAGCTGTGCAAGTTGTCTGTAGCAAACTAACATGCTTGTTAGGCCACGTTCACACTGCAGGCTGAAGTGACTCAAATCCGATCTGTTTGCCCAAATGTGACCCATATCCGATCTTATGACAGTGTGAACAGCACAAATCTGATTTTTTCAAATCCGACCCAGGCCACATTCATATGTGGTCCTAAATCAGATACATATCCGATGTTTTGCCATGCGACTTCAGTCTGAACGGCCATGTCACATTTTTATGTCATTGAAATGCGACAGACGTCACAATTCTGCGCTGGAGGAGGCGAGGCCATAAGCAATATTTGTGCTCTCCTCCTTCTTGATGTTCCTCTTATTATTATTTCTTTATTTAGATTGCACATTAACTGGTACATCGCTACGCACGTGCTATCACAAGTCGCATCCATTTTTATTTTCGCAAACACAGTACGCTGCATCTGACGTCATGTCCTCTTCTGTGCATGCGGGTCACCTCAGGGCTGTATACCGTTCACACATGAGACAGATGGCAGTCGCGTTTAAATGACAGTGTGAACAATTTTATTCTTGGTTGAAAATAAAAACTTCGATTCTGATGCTGCAATACATTCCAAAAAAAAGCTGGGACAGTAAAGTGTTTACCACGGTGTGATGCTGCTGTTCCTTTTCACAACACTTTAAAGACGTTTAGGGACTGAGGACACCAAGTGATTAAATGTGTCAGGCATCATTTTGTCCTTTTCCTCCTACAAACAAGTCTTAAGGTGCACGACATTCTCGGGCCCTCGTTGACACTCTTTGCATTTCAAAGTGCTCCACACATTCTCTACTGGGGACAAGTTGGGACTGCAGACAGGCCAGTCAAGCACTCGCACCCTTTTCCTCCACAGCCTTGGTAATGTGCACTATGAGGTTTTTCACTGTGTTGTTGAAATATGAACGGACGTCCCTGGAAAAGATGTCACCTTGAAGG